GAGAGAGAGAGAGAGAGAGAGAGAGAGAGAGAGAGAGAGAGAGAGAGCGAGCGAGTTGGTGTGTAGGCGCGTGTTTGACCGGTCCCGCGCTGCCGTCTGGGCACTCTACGCTCCAGAGCGAGACCAACGCCATCTGGCGGCCGCGAGACCAACCGGCCGACCGGCCAGTCGAGAGACAAAAGACTCTGGGGCCGCGGGGTAGCGGCGGCCGGCGTAGCAACGGGGCAAGGGCGAGGCCTCGGGCGAGGCTAGGCTTCAGGGCAAAGGACGGGGCAGCGGGGATTACATGGCGAAGCACCTTCAACAACACACACCCCGGTCGACTCGCGGCGAGAGCCCGCGGGCTCGAGAAATTGGCCATTAAAGCATGTTTGGCATGGCATGTTTGGAACACTCTTTTCTGTGTGTGATAAAACATGGTCGAGAATGGGCTGATGTATAGCGTGTGAGCGACAAAGACGAAAAAATTGGAAAGAAGTTTTATGTAAATAAAAACGTGAAATTCGTATAAAAGTTTCATGCACGTTGTCACACGGGGTAACATTATATTTCGACCACACATTAGTGCAAACTGGTGACTGGTGCAAGTGAAGGTACGTTATGTTTAATTTGAACTGCACTATTTCTCGGTATTCGACTTAGAACCCGCAGGATGCGAATAGGCGCAGTAATCTTCTCGGCCTCCAATGTTGCCAGGAAAATTAAGATTCTTAACAGGCTGCCAATTTTTGGTAAAGTATTTTTCAACGACAGTGGGCTGGGCAATATATAGGTAGTAGTGCGTCAAAAGCTTCACCAACCAAGTTTTCTGAACTTGGTCCCCTGCATTAAGGTGACCCCGAAATAGGTACATGACTTCAACTTCAGCTAGGGTCATAACGACGTAACAGCGCAGAACAGCGTAATTTGTTAATTCGAAGAAAACATTCAAAACGAGCTGCAAATCTCTTACAGATATGGTATTCATTTTCTTTGATTGGAAGGGTCCACTATCCCGTTTCATGTTAATCGGCAGTTGAACGTCATGTCCCGGTCTCCAGTGTTTTCAAATCAAAAGGCGAAAGAAGCACCCACTCGGTTCCGACTCCTTCATTTCACGTGACCTCACGCAACCTGTCCTGATCAGTCAAGGCAGCTTTACTGTATTGGTATTGGTTGAGGTAAAGACCCTTGGTATGGGTTTTGTTTGATTGAGAGGCCTCAGGTGGTAGTTTTGGTTGAGAAGTGGCTAGCGGCCGCGACATTGTCAATTAATGAGCGAGCCACAGTTGGTGGTATTGGAAGGTTGAGCGGCCCAATTGTTAGGTTCTTGCATACAGCAATATGCTGACGCTTTACAAGTTGCGAAGGATTCAGATGCCTTCTAGACGAGGCATTATACTTTACAATGACGAAGCATTGATTTGCATGCTACAAAGAGTGCTTGCTTTGCAATTGCAATAGAAAGGCTTTCGTAGTGAGTGTATGAAAGGGTGCGTAGGCTTCGTAGTGGCACTGTCCGTGGTAGGGTCTTGGATACTGTTGAAAGGCCTGCGGTGGTGGTGGTGGTGGTGGTGGGGGGTGGGGTTGATTGAGAGGTCGGGTGGTTCTAGCGATATTGGTTCATTGAGGAGACGACGGGCATTCACAATGGAACGACATCACAACCACCGCTGCTGGGGAGAGACGGTCAAAAGTGGGTAAACGGGGGTGTCGACAACCACCGACTCTTTCACACACACACACACACACACACACACATATATAGAGAGAGAGGAATTGGTGGCACCTAGCCACCATACAGCTCGAGCGCCACCGTCGTAGGGCGCGTTCAAAACACATCGCCCCATCTTCGTCCGTCCGCGCACCACGCCACTCGTTCTCTGTCTCTCTCACGGTCAAATTCTGCTCCGCGAGGCTCCCGGCCAGCCGCCTCCCCCCCTCCCCGCTCCCCCCACCACTGCTCTAGCCTAGACCATGGCGGACGCGGCGGGGCGCGGCGGGGTTCGAGGGTCCCGGTTGGCGGGCGGGGACCGGGCGGGGGAAGGGGGAGGCGGGGCTAGGACCGCCGCCGGCGAACCCTATTGGCTGTCGGGGCTAACCCTCCCGGAGCGCGGGCAGAGAGAAAGAGAGAGAATGAGAGAGACGGGGAGCCGGCTCAGCCCAGGCCTGCTTTGGTCCCCGGGTCCTCGACACCGGAGGGGAGGGAGGGGAGGAGGGGGAGTGATCCGCCCGGCACACCAGCAGGCCCTGGACGCCGGCGCAGGCTCGGCTCGACGCTAGTTGCTGAAAACAAAGCGTGTCAAAATGTGTTCGACGGCTGTGCGCCCGCCGCGGTGCAGCTAGGCAGTGAGTGCGAGTGAGAGAGAGAGAACGATAGGCCTGCTGGCAGGAGAGAGAGAGAGAGGCCAGCCAGGGGCAAGCCGGGTGAACGCGCTCCTGCCCGCTTCGAGTGCGTAGTGACCCGGCACGCTCCTCTGAAGTGACCTGCTGTGCACCTCACACTCTAGCACACACACTCACACACACACATATACACGGTTGAACTACTGCCTGCGTCCTCCTGAAGTCGCCCCGCCCTGCCGACCGGCTGCAGCGACGCCCGCCGACCAAACACCATCATCGCCTCTCTTAACCTCCGTCCGCGTTTATTCAGGGTGAGTACTACAGTTACAGTAACGCCTTGAGCACGAAGGGAAAAAAGTACCCTTACGGTAAACTGTACCTACACGTTACCTCTCCGCGTTGTAGGGAAAAAGGAGCGCCCGAAGCAATCATGATCTCTTTAATGCCAAGGGTATATATTCACCTTGAGGTGGAAAAGCATCTCGAAATCACAATGACGCTGATGATTTTTTGTACCCCCAAAACAGAAAACATCCATTTTGCAATAGGAAAAGAAAGCAAAAACAAAAGAGCAAGAAATTGCACAAAAGGTGAATTTCCGTGTAGTTGGGGAACATTTTTCAGTCCTTCAGTCTTTCTTAGGTTGCCATGCGTGCCGTTGGGAAAGTAACCCCCCTTTACGCAGTATGCTGGACCCCGCTGGGCCCGGGGGCCGCGGCTAGGGCCTTTGTGATCAATACTAGGCCTACCCAGCCCACCCCCTGCGCAGCTCTACGGCTGCAGCCTGGCTGGCCCGGGCGGGCAACGCCAGGGCAACGCCCACTACACGGCAAAAGACACCGAGACACGTCGAGGTATAAATCATAAATTATGAACATACTTCCCTCTCTAATCACGTTTCAGAACGCCAAATTCATTCAACTGGCTTTTGTAAGTTTAGGTGTCGTTTTATGGTTTCCTACTTTCTCTATGGTAGCGTGAATTCTGTTTTAGAGATATATAAGTTTTGTCTTATTTCCTGTGGCTGGCTCTGTGCACATCTTCGTCATCACAAATTATTATTCCCCCACAATCATTCCTACCTCATTTTTAACACAGGCTGTGAGAAAGGGCTCCGCCCCTCCTCCCCTCCTACCTCACTATACCACTTGAAGTGCAGTCTAAAAAGTGTTTTCTTCTCCATCTTCTTCTTGCGAATAAGGCTGCTATTTTGAATAAACGAGTGAAGCAAGGCAAAGCGGATCTCGCATTCCCTGAATCGCAGATGAGTCCAGCCTCACTGTCGCCTCATTTTGCACCAACTTGAAATGGGAATGGATTTGACGCATCGAATTTTGTTGAGATATAAATACTGTTCAGATTCCCCAATACGATTTCGATAACCTTTGACCACGTCATAACGAAAATAATCAAAACTAGAAAGAGGGAAACCACAAAGTGTTGTCCAAGTCTGTAAATCCTTAATTGCAAATTACTAGAAACAGTAAGTTTTTTCGTTTTTTAGTACTGAGCAGGGGCCGTACTTCTAAAGTTGGATTGTTCAAAACGCCAAACAGGCTAATAGGCAAACAAAACAATGGGACACGCTTAGATTTATTTGATTTACGTTTTTAGCTAAAGTCGATGGTATTAAGGTCGACGAATTACACTCAGAACGCAATAGTAATAATCAACTACCTCACACCTGATGGTCAATAAGTCCCCCTCGCAGTTTAATTAATTTAAATAGGATGGTTATAAGAAGAGGTGCAGGTCGGGTCAAACGAACAGCCGCCTGGTTTCATGAAACCTCTGGTTTCACCCCAAGCGGCTTGAAAACCGTACCGCGTGACATTTTTACCATATGTATATTCCACGTGGAAGTTTTTGAATCCACGACCATACGGACACTGAGG